CCCACCCTGAGCCCCAGCTGGCCCTTTTGAACAATCCAACTAGCCCTGATGGCAGGAATTTTGCAAACTATGACACATCGTCGGAGAAGGCCCAATTGAATGCACATATTTTACAAGGATTGTGAAGCTTTCTCGTTCATTCTGAAGTATGGCCTCCCTAGCCCCAACTGAAAAGCATGTGCGAAGTCGACACTACGTTCAAACCACAGAGCCAAAAGCGCAAGTCCAATGTGTTCCCGAGCCTCCATGAGACCGCCTTCTAAAAAAAGAAACAGCCAACGTTTGACCAAGTCCACGCGACGTCCTTCGGGCCTTCCAGCACTCGGCAGCCACTTGCCATGTCAGCGGTTCAAAAAACCCATTTTGGAACCCTAGTAAATGGAACCAAGGACTAAAACCTGCGGTCCCCTGGTGCTTTAATTTTGACACATACCCATGCGCTTTCCCCTCGACTGCATCCAAGCCACGTCCCGCGCGCAACTCCTGGGCGAAGCTTCTTCACGAAGCTCGCCTGCGGGGTCTGCCGCTCGAGTCCCACAGTTCGAGCCGTCAGAAGGGTGGGGACCCTGGCGCCTCTCAACAATGCTTGCTCCAACCAGCCATAAGCCAGGATTACTCTCCAACCCTGCACCTGTTTGGACTCATGGACATCGGTTTCACACGCCGCATGTGTGTGTGTGTGTGAATGTGTGATCTCAACCACCTATGTGTCAGTCATGGCCCTACCTTGTCTTGGGGGTATTCCTAGCTCGGTTTGCATGTTGCCCAAACACTTTTTCCGCCCGGCCTCTCCAGTCTTCCGTAAATCAAGGCAGTCGCTCATATCTTATGTGTGTGCGTTATGCAATTTTACACCCCACGCACTCACGGAATAATTTTACACACCGACGGAATCTTGGCAAGCGGCTTGAAGTGGAGCTGCCATCCATGTCGGGATCATGGGCGTCACCCACCTGCATTCCAAGGGCAAGTTGCCAGCAGCACGTCCCACTGACTCAAACGTGGAGTAACCCTTCCGTCACTTCCCAACAATTTCTTGCGGCAAGCACAGAAGTAGAAGCACGATGCGCCCATGATTCCTCCGGAACAGGGGGCCGAATCCACGTGTTGCAGCGCATCATGCGTGCGAATGCGTCTAAATGACAGGCCGGGGTCCCTTCAGCTGGCCAAACATGATGATACAACAACATCACAACATGTCGCCTTGCTCTGAGCGCGCGTTTTCACCAAACACTTGGCGATGCAGTTTGCGCCACTTTCAGGCATTGCCCTCCATTGCCATGACGCTGCACAATGCCATGGTTGCTTAAGTGGCCGGGTAGTAAGGTGCACGGTCGGTAACAAATGATGTCGGCAAATGATTGATCAACCCCTCTGATTAAAAAAGCCGGGTTTTCCCAGCCGACTGCCAGCCAAAAGAACCCTAAAGGCACCCACAAGGTTTGCCCAACAGACCCCTCTTATTTTTTGGGGGCACGTCCCAAAACCCCCTCTGACTAGAAACGCCTCTTTCCGGCCCAAAATCAAAGAAATACAAAACACATAAAACATTTAGACTACCAACGCTATTGCCAACACTTTTGCCAATGCCAACTCCTTTCATAGTCAAGGGTTGCCAAAACGGCTAGCCGGAAACAGCAAATTTCTTATTGCAGCTTGTTTAAAACAAGATTTGACAAGCTCGTAAAGGGTACCCCACTTCAAGTTTGGCCCCCCTCCCCCAATAACACAAAACCCCCTCTGATTCATCCTGGCCGCTTCCAGCCCTGGAATTCCTATTGCAGTCCAAGTGGCCAAACAGGCGTCCACGCACGAAAGGAAGGAAAGGACTGGCCAGGTCCAGACTGATTTGAGGGGTCCAGGGAGGCCCTCCAACATCCGATTTTCCCAAACCTTGTCAACCTTGAGGAAACCTCCCCAGCTGATGCATCCGAGCAACGTAGTATGACTCTGGTCGCTGCCGGTGTGGGAACTGTGAAATTGGCGGCACGCTCCTGGCTGCAAGCGCCTGGGTTCAGGTTGGGACTTTCCATGCCAAACAAGAGGACACGATTCAGGGTAACATTTCAGAATGCACACCCAAAACATGGCTTGAGGCCTTGCTGTCGCAAGGTCATCCCCTTGATCGAACTTTTCAGGGCTGTACGGTTGCTCGGTGGCCATTGCCTGGCGACGAACACTTGCAACGGGTAAACTAACTAACTGTAAAGTCAGGCCAACAAAGGTGCAGCACAACAATTCATGACGGTAAACAAGGAATACAATGGAAAGGCCCAAAATCAAAGGGCACATGCACCAGCAAAGATTGGCATCCCGATGTAACTTCACTTTTCGACCGCGTTCTGTGCACACATGCATACAAAAGGAACTCCTGGTTAACCTCCCGTCCTCTGCATCTCCCGCCGGAGGCGGGCAATCTCGGCCTGTGCAGCGGCATGGGACCTCGGTCCGAAAAAAAAGAAGCTTCGGGTTTGCAACATCGGCCGACCTTGAAAATGAGGAGCCCAATTCATAGAGGGCGTGTTCAAGCGATGCTAGCACAAAGGTATGGCTGGCACTAGGCATGCTTCTGCACTTGTGTCAACCAAGTTTCTTGCTGTGCTGGCATCTAGTGGCTACGCCACCACGGTCCACAAACCCATGAGCGTAAATTGGCTCTTTGGCCATGCTTAAGTTGGTGTGCATACGATGTGTCTTGGCAGAGTGGCAAGCCAGCATGAGATTTACTGCCTCGAGCCAAATCAACATCAGCCCCCAGCTCTCGGCACCTCACCGGCCCCTCGCCCGTGCAACAGCAACGCTTGCCACGGGGTCCGGGCTGCTTCAAGAGCGTCACCTGGGAGCGCAGCGACGCCTCAATGATGCAATGGCGATGGCGAGTCATCAGACACACCAGATCTGCCAGCCTTGAATCAAGGATCATGCATCGTAAACCGGTTCTGTTTATAGTAGCAATCTTCTCTCACCAAGTTGGTGGGAGTTGCCGTGGGTGCGGGGTGACATTGCACATGCCTGGTGTTTGGCAAGGGTAGGTCAAAGCCCAACACCGAGTGCCAGCACGCTACACCTGTAAACATATACTCGAAAGCCTGCGGCATCTTTCAAAGCTCGAAGCTGTCAAACCTTGCACACGGTGCAACCACTTTATGGAATAAGGTTATTGATGGAGGACCGTGTTGTTCAATACCAGTGGAAGGCCAAGACAAAAACTACCCTCGCTACTACCAGCTGCTTGCTCGTGGGGATTCAGCTTATTCCTCCAAATTCCTAAACGCGCCCTGCCATTCACCCTTATCCTCCGAATGGACGCTCAATGCAGGCCGCGGGCATGATGCTTGTCTGCTGCTGCCAATGCCTCCTGAGCGAGGCTTTCTTCAAGGCCGTCTGGGATTGCCTCCCCCTTTCCCAGCTTGTTTGGCAATTGGCATTGTAGCATTTGCACTTGTGCTCTCCTTGAGCTTCAGGTCCTGTGCCCCCATGGTTGGGCAATGGTGGCCAGGGGGCTCTGACATGCTTGAGATGCCCAGTGGTCGTGCCGCAATCTCCAAAAGATGGCATCTAATGATTTGCTAAGCAAGGCTGAACAAGCAACACAAGGAGGCCATGCAACACCGCAAGCTTTGGGAAGCATCTAGCTTCCTAGGTCCTAGCTCAAACTAGACCTGGCGTTGAGAGATCCTAGCAATGAAGAGGCCAAACAGGTGAACGGTGAGCCCGGCAAATGCGACACATCAGTGAACACCACTCTTTTCGCCTACATGCTTTCGAGCTGGCGGGGTTGTTTCCTCATGCTATCCCACTCTTCATCCCGTTTCCCGTAGCTGTTCCAAAACAGCTTGCATCTTCGCTGCCCTCCTGCAACACGCATCTGAAGGGCCAAGCCATGACTCCCAACCCATCCCGTCCTCAACCATGAGGACAAGCTCAGGTTGGGAGACGCACACGGCCGAAAACCGACGGAAAGTGATACATGGTAATTTGTTGTACATGGGGCTGTAGGTCTTTGAGACTCTTGCCTTGGATGAGCGTGGTTTGGTCTGGGGGTGTGGGGGGTGTGGGGTTGTTCTGGGCTGGCTCACGTGGGCCGAGTCGCTGCTTGCATCTACCTGTCAGCTGTTGGGGCCACGGTGAAGCAAGAGCAAACCCACTCCAAACGGAGAGGGAGGTACAGGGACACACCCCATGTGTACCGAGGTGCCAACTTCACGACATAGTAATACAGACTCATCGGTCAACGAGGCCATACACGCGATCCCAATGTTTCTGCTAAATTCAGAACTTTCGGTGACCGCGCCGCTTGACAAATTGATTCGGGAAAAAAAACTCAACGCGCCCCACGCACGACCGATGCGAGACCCCTAACCCAAGGCTCACCCACTGCCGAACAAGCGGAACATAGCAACTCTTCAATGGCCTGCTAGCAAGCAAAACCCCACAAAGAGCACATGCTTCACGCACAGGGGCACTCGCCTTCCTAGCCGCATTGCCAATAGCTAGTCTAGTGAAACAAATCCATTCAAAGCTCGCACAAAAAGGACTCATCCCGGTGATGAATGATGAACTAATAGACACGCTGTGACCAAGGTAACCCATGCGGTGCCATAGAAAATGGAGTGCGAGAGTGTCAACATGTGCCAACTACGTGAGCTGCTAGAACAACATAGAACAAGCACCTGCACTCCACACGTTGAAGTGAAGCAAGCAGTAAGCCAGTGTGGACAATCAACACTTCGCACTTCAGCCAGCAATACAATCACTACAATCGGGGATTGCTCCATGCCATGGCAATGCAAATAAGGAAGGGCCAGTCTGCCGTGGTTGATTTATAAAACACGTGAATCCTTTCTGAGCATTTTGCCAACCACTGCTTGTCCTCTGGGGCCAGGGCAAGTGATTTAATTTAGAGTGCCTTTGATTCTCGCTATCGGTGGCGAGCAACGGCATGCCCTCGCGCCAAGCAATACGCACCCTTTGCCCTTTGCGTGGCAGCTCAAGCGGGGCTACCGCTTGCTCTTGCCTCGGCATCACTCCCCCCCATCTAATGAAACAGGCGTCCATCGAACTAGCAAAGCTAGGTGGTGCAAAACTAAAGGTTGGCCAATCCTAAAGGATAAAAAACAAAACAAATGGTGAGCTACAGTGTAGCCTAACTCAGGGAAAGCCCAATTACTTGTCTGCGCGACTCAGATACGATCTTGTTGTGATTGAAATTTGTGGTATATTTTACACATTTGTGCGTCTCACGTTTCGTTTGATGAAAATGTTAGCGTTCTGGCAGGATGATTGGGTTGCTACCACGCACCCTGCGTTTAGTGGTGCTGCTGGGGCAACAGGGCTTCAACAATTATTTTGCGCCCCTGTCCACTGAGCGTGACATGCTGGTTCAAGTGGCTGAAGCTTTTGCATTGTTGCGGGCAGTCGCGCCTAGCCAGAGTTGGAGGGGAAGGGGGCCAGAATTTGCAGGGGTTGTGGCACAAGGGACGGGGTTCCCCCAGCCTGTCAGGCAACTGGAATTGTTAAAACACCGTAAACACAAATGACATCTGTTACAACATCGCGTTAAGATCGTATGTGTTACGATTGCAATACGATGTTGATATGCTTTTAATACAACTTTTTGCACCCCCTGCTTGCACGTGCGATGACTTTACGCTGTTGGGGAAGGGGGAGGGGGCTGCGCAAGGGGGGGTTCTTCCTATACATGCGCTTTGCAAGGACAAACGCAAAGCCAGTCGTGGCCCATTCAATTGCGTTTTCTGCATGGCTTGCGGGAAGGCTTGACAAGCTACAGCTGCATTCTGCATTGCTTTTGGCCGCGAATTGAGGTCAAGGCGGTTCAGGCGCAAAGTGTGTGAAGGGTAAGCTGAGCTTCTTGTGACTGCAAGAGGACAGTTGGTGAGCTTGCGTTGCGAGAGTGCAAGCTGTCTTCACTTACAAACATGTTCGGGTACCTGGAAGGTCATGTTGTCAATTTCCAAACTCGCGTTGGCAAGGTGGAAAAAACACACCCGGAAAATTCATTTCGTAAATGTCGCAGGAGACATAAATGTGAATCGTAACAACATGTAACAAACACACACACACACACACACACACACACACACACACACACACACACACACACACACGCGCACGCACGCGCACGCACGCACGCACGCACGCACGCACGCACGCACGCACGCACGCACGCACGCACGCACGCACGCACGCACGCACGCACGCACGCACGCACGCACGCACGCACGCACGCACGCACGCACGCACGCACGCACGCACGCACGCACGCACGCACGCACGCACGCACGCACGCACGCACGCACGCACGCACGCACGCACGCACGCACGCACGCACGCACGCACGCACACGCACGCACGCACGCACGCACGCACGCACGCACGCACGCACGCACGCACGCACGCACGCACGCACGCACGCACGCACGCACGCACGCACGCACGCACGCACGCACGCACGCACGCACGCACGCACGCACGCACGCACGCACGCACGCACGCACGCACGCACGCACGCACGCACGCACGCACGCACGCACGCACGCACGCACGCACGCACGCACGCACGCACGCACGCACGCACGCACGCACGCACGCACGCACGCACGCACGCACGCACGCACGCACGCACGCACGCACGCACGCACGCACGCACGCACGCACGCACGCACGCACGCACGCGCACAACAATTCAGAAACGTCAGTTAGGCTGGCAGCGTAGGTCGCAAACAATTTCTTTGCACACCGAGGCTTTGCTTAGCCGTTGACGTACGTGCCTACCCAGGCGACTGAAACGCGTCGAAGTGGCTTTGGAAGCTGTCCCGTGTCCAGTCAGCAAAGCGGGTTGAAAGGCTTGCCGATTCGAATCTGTCGGCGTCCGCCGTGACTTATTGCCCGGCCTAGCCCCTCCAAAGCCAGCGCTTTCCATTCCGCAGCCTGCCCGAGCGACGGACACGTGACAGGTGTTGGTGTTGCAACCGTGAGAATGTTGTTGGACGGATGGCTCCTCAAAGGTGTGTTGGTTTAACATGGGCAACCTACAAACCGCCCCGAAAACCAACGTGTCATACGCAAACGTGCCGCAATGCAACGTCAACAGCTGTGGCGCTGAAAAAAAAGGAACTTGTGAACTTGACTTGCTGTTGCCGCTACTCAAGTAATGGCAATGTCTGCATGTCCGAATGGCCAGCTGCCCCTAACCGACCATAGGGCACGTTTCTGAAGGCTCCCTAACGCATCATCCCAGGTCGCTGACGGACTAAAAGTGCCCCTCACTTGCAACAGCTTGTTGGTCATCAAATAGCATTAAAGGATTCGATTCTGGCTCCTTGAGGCCGAAACCCTCCGTGACTGCATCAACATGGGCGTCGCTCTTGCATGCAGCAAGGTGCCTACGCAGTTGTTTCATCCGATGGAAGCTGCAAGAAAGGATACTCACATGAATCCCTTTGGTCTTGTGACATGTCGCTCCATGTAGAATTTGAACTGGCCTACTGGCAGTGGAATCGTCCCAGTCGAATCAAGTCCGCACCTCTTTGTCCGTGGAGTCGTACTCCAATAGCTTCTCGGCATCCTCCAAGAGCGACTTGAACTCCCGCATCTTCCTGGCCGGAAGCTTTCGGGCGATGGCAAGTCACGCGGCTCACTCGACTCGATCGACTCGATCCTTTTCGGCAAAGAGAACAGTGCAGAAACGCGAAGTAGCATTGCGCGTAGTCCAGAATACCACCAAAGACTCCTGAAGATGTCCTTGTGGTGGCCAAATACTCCGAGAACCCACCCTTAACACTCGCACTTGACCTTGTCCACTCAGTTCTTTCAGGCATGTTGAACGGCTAAGATTGAGAACATGCAGGCCAGGCAAGCAGGTTTTCAGGCCGGGCAGCCGGAGTGCGCCAACGGATGGCAACGGCGTAGCAACAAGGTGCCCTTTTGGGCTCCTGGTGCTCGCAAACAGGGCTCCTTGGGAGCTCCCGGTCGGCCTCAGTCGCGATTCTCCTTGGCCATGGCGGCCCCACGTCCTCCGCCCCGCTGCGCAGGTTCTGGCGGCTTGTTCATTGCCTTCAAGTCCGCTTCGCCGTCTTCCAGGACCACCTGAGCCGTGGCCAAAACCTGGGTTCCACGATGTTATATTCCATGTCTGCCTTCGCGAACCCTTTCGCGGCCTTTCTTTCGCGAATATTGCGCTATTCCACAGTTTTCCTTTCGCAGCGCACATTGGGCCAAGAAAACCTTTCGCGGACGGTTCAGTCAACCCAGTGTTCAAAATCGGCCTTTCGCGGCCCTGTCGCGAACATGATTCCTCGCGTCCCCTTCGCGTCCACTTTTTGCGAAGCTTTCACGAAGCTTCATGCTCGCGCAGCAACTGGCAGGACAACACCTTACTAACTTCTTTCATCGGGGTTTTGAACGCAGCTCACCTGAGCTTAAGCATTTGACCGTGGGGCTGCCAAGGGATTCAATAACCAACATGAGAATGATATTTTGTCCTGTCTTTTCATTGTTTGTCTTGTCTTAGAATAACTCTCCTGCAAATTGGATTGCAAGGACATCATGTTTTCTTATGAGGTCCCCGATAGGCTTGCTACTATCCTTGAAGCTGACATGCCTTAGCGTTTCCGAGCCCCGCCTGCATAGTGAAGCTCTTGACAAACGACTGGAGTTTGCCTTCCTTCTGGTCGTAGTCAATCATTTTCATTGGCACCTTGTGGCGCAGCTGTGAAGGAAGTGGTGTGATCTTTCGAGTGGGCACTTAAATGAGACATTGACCAGAATGACTCCCTCAAGTACGCAGGCGTCCCACAAACAGCATGGCAGAGACTGCCAAAATATCCATCAGCTGAGCTCCAGTCAACATCAATACAAGTCACAAACAGCAGCTTGTTGCCATCACTGAGCTCCTGGAGAAAGTAATGTGTCCCTCTTACCCAAAAGTACAACAGCATGGCTGCGGATCGTCTCGTCCTGCCTGTCGTTTCAGGATTTCCTTACCGGCGGAAGCAACGGTTGTCTCGCTTGCCTTGACCATACCTAGTGTGGAATACCCCGACAAGCATAATGCCTTGGAGATCGCTGCTGCGACATCAAAAGAAGGCAAGATGTCGGCATCACATATATACAGGCTGCAACCGAACCGTGTCAGGTCAAATGTCCTGCCACTTTCTACAAACCCAGGCAAACAAAATGGTGTTGACAACTTTCTGCACTTGCATCAATAAACCAGGGCGGCATATTATGATGACATGGCATGGGCCAGCCCCTCGCAAACAAATCACCCCTCAGTCTTTGCATTCTCCATAGCTCTGGCTCCTTGATGCCCTCCGGCTCACCATGCCACCACATGTTCGTCGCGGTTGACAGGTCAGCGGCATCGTCTGACCAGAGGCCGTTTCGGAAGTAGGCCTCTCCGTTGAACCTGGGCAGGGCGGGCAGGGCCCCGAACAACAAAAATTGGGCTCTTTGCGAGCTTCTGGACCTGTCCGCGAAAAAAGACCTCCGCTGTGTTTTCTGGGACCTGGGGACAAATTGCAGAGGAATACGGTTCGGCAGCCAGAAGTGGTGCTAATTAGCTCAAAACCGTTGCAGAACCACTCTAAACAGTTCACCAGTGCCTGGTGTAGCTAGCATGATCCCGTGAAACCTTATGATACCCCGCAGCTCTAGCCCCTTTGGCACGACACGGTGTTGCCACGGTCCTTGGGAGTTCCGGGGGCGCTGTACAAACAGACTCGATAAAAACTGGCAATGCCTTCAGGAGTTTCATCGTGACTCCTCTTTTCTTCTTTTGCGGCGATCTATCTGGCAAATATGGTGGTTGGTTGTGTTCTGAAAGGCTGCCTGTTCTCAAGCCCCAGGTTAATTAATCTTTGGTGGGGTCAATTGGCAGCTTCACGCAAAGCTCACATGCCATTTCAAAGTCATGTCAAAATGTCCATGCTGAAGTGATCCGCTCAAAAATCACAGTTGACACAATTTGAGCCTTGCG